GTTTCCACCTACCGCACCATCTCGACGTTGTCCCTCATGGAATATATCCCATCCCTGTTGGATACTTGCATACGGGTTCGCAGCATGTTTACAGGATTCAACAATCCCACACGATGCCTCCCGTTAATAAGTGTTGACCCCCCAACTCCACCCCCTCGGCACGCGGGCCATTCTGACCGCCGACTCGACTAGCCCTTTTGTCGTGTTCGTTGGGTCGGCTGCATGTCCGACTTACCGCCATTCGCAGGTCGACGTGCTTGACTAAATGGGCCTCGCTCTTGTCCGTTGGCGCGTTTGTATGTCTTTTGACATTTACAGGGCAACGTGCAATGACACGCGGCATTTCTCGTACTGGATACGGCCGGGCGGCAGCTGGCACCCGGAGTACCTTACGCTTGACCACTTCCCCCTGGTGCGTAGGGTTTTGTTGGCATATCTCTCGAGCCAAAGACGCCACTTTGTTGCCTGGTACTACATGTAGTTCGAATGTTTTTTGTGGCATACATGTTCCGTCTCTTGTTGGAGTACTTCTCCATCTTTTTCATTTGTTGTAATGTTTGCCTTTTGTTGTGATGCCGAGTTTCAATGCTCTTGTTGTATGTTTTACGTATGTTTACCCGTGTTGTGGTACGTGTGGATCACCACTGTTGTGATGTGTTGCTCATCCAGGTTCGGAGTCGTTGATTTGTTTGAGTATTAGCCGTAATTGTGATTGATGGCTGGTTGTCAGTGCCTCTGTTTGCCCAATTTTTCCGAGGCAACCCACACTTTTCAATTTCGTGTCCTTGTCGTCGGGGTGGTGGTGGTGGTGGTGGCGTGTCGATGTCGTCGTGATGTGTGTGCTTGTCTGTGTGTGTTCTTTTTTTTATTGTTAGCATCGACCGCGCTAACCGGCTGACCAAGAAAATTTTGTCAGTCTCAGTGCGGTTGAAAGCTTCTAAAGGTCATGATCTAGGACCCCGTGAGGGGAAGGCGAAGCTATTCTCCACAGTATGACAGAAGTTTGTGTGTGTGTGTGTGTTTTTTTTTGTTATTATTAGCATCGACCGCGCTAACCGGCTGACCAATGAAAAGACGCCAGTCTTCGTGCGGTGAACACACAAAATACTTCTGCCATGTGTGTGTGTGTGTTTGCGACCTGACTTGACTGTACTCTCCAGGTTCACAACGCGACGGAGTTTTACATCCGGAAGGTCGAGGATGCGAGAGGATCGAAGCCGCTGTTGGACACGCTGGATATTCTCCGCGCCGGGCATCCTTTGGATGCCACGCTGCCAATCTTGAAAGCGTGAGTCTACAGTGCCAGTAAACCGCTTGAATGTTTTTGGACACAGTGTTTTTGGATACAAACAGCAGTGCCACATGAGCCTCAAGGAAGGGTGTGCTGCCTGCCTTTTGTTTTCCTAGGTCGAGCCGTGACCGTAAACCGCTGTGTGTGCTGCGACGACTTTGCAGGTGGCTCAACAGGAAGGGGGAGGACGGTGTTTCTCTGGGGGCGGAGGGGGGTCCGATTATGCCGTTTCCGGAGGACGGGACTGTGGATGAGGCGATGGCGGAGCTGTACAGGAGGCAGTCGGAGTACGCGGAGAGTAGGCGGTGCATGTTCCTGGCCGGGATCGCTCGACGAAGGTGGGTCCTCTCGCTGGTGGTTGTTGTTTCCGCTGCTGCTGCTGCTACGGCGGCGGCGGCGGCTGCTGCTGCTACGGCGTGGTGGTGTCTGCTTCTGCTGTTTTTGTTTTGGCGTAAAAGACCGATTAAGCCGGTTCCATGAAAAATCATCATAACTCATCATCGGGTGGTACGGCTTGTGTCGGGAAGTTCATCGCGCATAGGCAGCTGCTGCCGTTGGTTTCCGCATGAAGGAGACCGGTTGGGTATTTGTTATTCTGGTTACCGCTTGCCGGGAAGCTCAACGGTCCTACATACATACATGGCTGGTACTGCCGCACCACACATTTAACGCTGGCGGTCGCGGGTCAAGCCCGATTACATTTCCAGAGTGTTTCCTACAGTCGCCGCCTGCTAAGTCACCATACCTCAGTCTTTGTCCAGACAAAGGACACATTTTTTTTCCTCGCTGAGAGTTGACCCCCCCCCCCCGGTTGCGTGCGGTCTCACGAAACCCCCCTTGGCTTCAACGTCAACACGTGAAACAGCCGGAAACGAGCGGAGGCCGGGGCGGCGGCGGCGGCGATATCCAGGGGCCAGCCCGGGCTTAAGGATAGTGGCAAGTCGAAGGTGAGAGATTGATCGATCGTGCCTCCCCCGCCTACTCTGTTCGGGTATTCACGCTTGTGACCGAATAGCCCTTATTTTCGAACAGACTGGTTTTATGTACAGTCAATAAGAACTAGCCATTCGAGATGCAATCGCATTTTTTTTGTTTTGTTTTTTGCTCTAGACCAGCGTCCAGATATTGTACAAGTACCGGAAATTGTGAAGACAGACGTCCAGAAGAAAATATTCATGACGGAAAAGAATAGTCGCCTTCGCATGATACCTTTTTTGTGTTCTTTAGACCTCTTGGAAGTGAGTGATTGGGGTACCGTGTCCGTGCCTGTGGTAGAATCTTGTTCGTGTTATACGTGTGTGGGTGCTTCGATGCGGTTAGTGTTGTTTTTGTGAGGTTGCCCCACGTTCGCTGTTTATTTGAGTTATGACCCGTTGTGTGGCAGACTACCCCCTCGTGCCCCTAGCAGCGTTTTTTTTAGCAGGACGCAGCACATACCATGCAAGGGTAGCGGTCGTTTCTTTCGAATAATGTAACAGAAAAGACACGAGCGAAAATACGATGAGCAGCAAAACGGCACGAACAACATCACCATTTCCGGTTTCAATTTCCCTTGAGCCAAATACAAAAAAAAAGCAAAGAGACGGCCCAGCGTCGCACAGTAACGTGCACCTGAAATACTGGAGGGTTTTGCGCAAACCAACCAAACTTCAAATTTCTGTCCTCCCAGTTGTTCCGGAGTTTTCCGGCCAAAAGTCATTTACCACGTTACGCCACAGCCGTGAAGAGCGGTTATTGCAGCAGCCAGCCCTCGAAAGGGATTGATCCGACCAGTTCGTTTACTGTTACTCATGTATGCATACAATGTAAAGTGATAGTATGAGGCACAAGCATTTTTTTGTTTTTTTCGGTGCCTCTATTGTATGATATTGCTTTTTCGTCGGGTAGCGGATGTCGAACACCCCTTTTTTCAGTAGCCTTGGCAAGAATATGGAGCTTGGTTTTTTGTAGGGGGCACGCGGTTGGGTTGGAAGTAGGTTTAAGGATGGGGATACCACACACCCCTTCTCCATTTGTGTCCCAAGAAATACTTTCCCGTTCTGTCTCTTGTTCCGCCGGGCGGGGGTGGGGAGGCAAAAGGGGGTAGTATACGAAGGCAATATCTGTTTTGTTGGTGTTTTTGCTTTTCAGGGGGTTGTTTCTGGAGGTATTGTGGTGTTATGCAGTATTTCCTTTGTTGTCCATTTTCAGAAAGATGTGGGTGAATTTAATGGGAAAGAAAGGTTACGATTAGACCCCCCCCCCCCCCCCCCCCCCCCGGGGGGTTTTTTGGGGGGTGGTGGGGGCGCGTGGTCAAAAAAAAAAAAATAAAATCCCACCGAAAAATCCCCCCCCCCCGGGGGGGGGG